CTGTGCCCTGCCTAGTTGTGGAACTCCAGCCCTTCCAGCCTCAAACCTCTCTCCTTAAATTCCCCCAGGTTTTCATTTCCTCCTGGTGTTTTAGCCTCGTCCCCAGCTCAGCTCAGCACAGAGGGTGCTCCAGCGTCTCCATCAACTCTGACACCTCATTTCTCCTGCCAGAAGTGACTCCTTTGGTTTATCTTCCCTGGGAGTCTCTGGGAACAGTAAAACAAGTCCAGAAGTAGCCAATTTAATGAAGGAGAAATCACCCAGATCAGTGATTTTCTGGTGGGGGGAAAAGGGAACCTTTGCACTGCCATGCCAAATTGAAGGGTTGGTTTTGCTGTCCCAGCTGATTCCTGAAAAACCAGCTTCCAGGTGCTGTAACAGAGCCAGACATTTGGGACATCCCTGGAGTGTGACCCTCTTCCCATGAGACAAAACAGCACAGCTACACTAAAATCACTGCTCAGGCCCTTGTTGAGAGTTTAATGCCACTGGAGTCTCGAGCTCTTCAAAATAATATCTTTTGTATTTTGTTTTTCTCAATGACTTTTTCTTCCTGGGGCTCCAGTTCCTGGCAATACTTTTATAAATTGTGAATATAGTAAATATTCAACCCACAGCACTAACAAGCTCTGAATGCAGCACAACTCTCCCAAATAATACCAAGCTGGAAAAAAAAAAAAAAAAAGGAAAAGAAAAACCCTATCAAATGTATTCAGCTGGAATATCTCACCCAGAGAGCTATTCTCCCAGAATATTTGGGGCAAGCACAGTGTCATAAATCTTAGTGCTATTAATCCATGGACTCATCCATCTCTGTTCAGCTCCATAAAAGCAATAACCTTGTCACTGTAGGAAGGAAGATTGGGCTTTTAATTGCATATAGATTTCAGGAGAGTTCTTATCTCTTAGTCCAATTTGTAGCTTCAGATAGGTGTCTTTGCTTCCCTTGCTCCAAATCCATGCAAATCTGCTCTCACACCCTTAGAAATGGTGCAGGAGCTCAGCAAGAACCCACAGAGAGCTGTGCTGGCAGAAAATGCAGCCAGGCTTTGCAGCCTTGGCTTTGGTGGACAAGCCTGTGTTTAATCAGCTCCTCTAAGATGTGTTTGTCAGAGGATGATCAAATTTATGGAGACAAAACCACATCAGTCACTGGTCAGGATTGCCCTGACTTGGCTCTACAGGTGCTACCAAAACCATCCTTTGGCCTGAAGTTTGTTCTCAGTGAAGGTAAAACAGCAGGTGGGAGGGGATTGTGTTCCCTCCCTCCCCAGGGACAGCAGCAGGAGGCAAGGCTGGGTTTGCTCACAGGGCAGGAGATGTGCAGCCTCTGGCTTCTGTGTCAGTTCTTCAGCCAGAAGAACTCCAGAGGCTCAGAGCTCCTGGGTGCTGTCCCATCAGCCAAACCAGTGAGCCCAGTTCAGCCCAGCCAGTGCTGGACTGCTCCTCCCAGCCTGCAGCCACCAGGCTCCTTCCAGAGCTGCTCCTTCCAGCAGCTCCTGCTCCTTCCAGCAGCTCCTGCTCCTCTGGGCATGGATTGCAGAGCCCAATTCACACCTTTTGGGGTGGCAGGTGCCCCTGCAGTACCCAGTGTGGGGGGCAGATGTGTTTGGGGTGAGGGGTAGCCCATGGGCTGAGTGTCCCCTTCCCTTTGCACCACAGGTCAGGGACTTGGCACAGGCACAGGAGGGTTTGTCCTTTACTTGTGGACACTGGGACAGAACAGCCCTGGGACATGATGAGCTGCCACCAAGGCATTGGGGCATCCTGGGGGTGCTTCTGGATCTCACTTTGTTTGCCAAGACCAAGAAATAATTAGGGTATTCTCGGGTTTTTTTTCAGCCTGCAGAGGAAAGCCTGGAAATGGGAACTTTGTCCTCAGTAAAGACCCAGAGATTTCCCCTTGGGCTATTTAGGTCCATGTCCCAAGACAGGGAATCACATAATCCTGGAATGCTTTGGGTTGGAAGGGACCTTAAAGCCCATCCAGTCCCACCTCCTCCATGGGCAGGGACACGTCCCACTAGCCCAGGTTGCTCCAAGCCCCGTCCAACCTGGCCTTGGACACTTCCAGGGATCCAGGGGCAGCCACAGCTTCTCTGGGCAAGAATTTCTTCCCAATATCCCACCTAACCCTGCTCTGGCAGTGGGAAACCATTCCCCTTGTCCTGTCCCTCCAGGCCCTTGGAAATAGTCTTTTCTCAGTCTTTCCTGTAGCTCCTTCAGGCACTGCAAGACCACAATCAGGTCACCCCAAAGCTTCTCCTCTCCAGGCTGAACAATCCCAACTCTCCAGCCTTTCCTCCCAGCAGAGCTGCTCCAGCCCTCTGATCCCCTTGGGTACCTCCTCTGGACTTGCTCCAACAAGTCAGAGCCCAAGCCCCAAGTTCTCCCTGGGCAGGAGGAGCAGCTCCAGGGCTGGGGGTGCAGCTTCTCCCAGCACAGGATCCTCACAGTCCCCGAGGCACCACAGGAGATAAAGTCCCTTCCAGCCACAGCCATGGGACAGTGTCACAGCAGGACTGGTCACACCACGGACACAGGAGCAGTGTCCCAGCAGTGTCCCAGCAGGAGTGGACACACCACAGATGGGCTCAGTGAGAAAGGATTCTCCCCTTTGGAATGTTTTTTTTTTTTTTCCAGTGACATTCCCTGCATTGAAATATTCCATCCTGCGAGTTTTGGGCCGAGGGAAATGAAAAGTGATTGCTGGAAGATTAGGAACCTTCCAAGGGCAGGAATTCCTGGATCCAGGGCTGCCTCAGCTCCTGCCCACACTCTTGTCATCTACACACATCCGAGTGTAGCCCAGGGAGAACCAGCTCAGGGAATTTGTTGGAGAATTTGTGCTGCATAAAAATAAAATGTAACTCTCCAAGCTGCTTCCTTGGGATGCTTTTAGTTCTAACACAGCCCTCAACCTGCATTTCAGTTTTTCCTGGGGGTTTTCCCTCCGTTTCCATCCCCCTGTGTACCTTCAGCTTGTCACCACTTGTGTGTTTCCTATCTAAATTAAACATTCCCGTGCTTTTCAGCCCCTTTCCAGTGGAGCTGAGAACATACCAGCAATTTTTTTCCCCCTCCTAAGAACAATGAAGTATTTAGAAGTGTTTAATCTCTGCCTTGAAACTGAGCTCTGCTCCTCAGAGAGCTCCCAGCAAAGGAGCTCTGACTTCAGCACCTCACTGACTTGGGGTCCCCTGATGCTTCTCCACCTGATTTTCTGGGATTTTGTCTCAGCATGTGACTAACAGGAAAAAAACACACCCTAATCTCTTATTTTTATCCTCAATTCCTTGTATTTGTCCATCCTCCTCCCAAGAACCTGCAGGACCCAAAGCTGAGGGGAGTTTAGCTGAGCAGGAAGGTTGGAGATGTTGGTCATGACAAGGACAGAACAAATGGAAACAGCTGGAAACAGTGATTTTGGTCTTTAAGATTTTTCTTTTTTAATATTCACGTAAAAAAAAAAACAAAAACAACAACGACCAACAAAACAAACAAGCCAAAAAATAAATCCAGCATGCAAAAAAATAAAAAAAAGCAGAAAAATCTAAGTTTATACTGAGAGTGGAGATAAAACCATGGAAAAGAATGTCAAGGTTTTTAAGATAGAACAGGATTTACCTCTGCAAAACTGAATTGTTCTCCTTTAAAAACAGATCCTTCAAACAAGCCCATGAGTAGTAGGAAAGGGAAGGTGAGCCCTGACATCCAGGAGGGATTTATCCCAGGTGGCAGGAGGGGCCAATGTCCAGCCTGAGAGGGACCAAGAGCTCTTCATCCAAGAGCTGGATGGAAGCTCTTCCCACCTCTCTCCAACCATGAGCTCCCAGGTGTTCCCTCCTCCTCCTGCTGACCTTCCCCAGGGGCAGCAGCTTCCCCCCTCCTGGACCTTGCTGGGATTTGCCTCTGGGATGGTGGCTCTGGGGACCTGGGGGTTTGGGACAGGGGATGGTCCTGGAGCAGGGATGGACATGGAGGTGGTGGACCCAGACTGTGCCCACTGGGAGCACAGCCTGCCCCCTCTATCCCTGCCAGCCACCAGAGATGCCACCAGCCTGGTGGCAGCTTCACCCACCAAAGGCCCAGCTCTGAACCCTCCAGAACATCAAACCAACACCAGCATGTCACCAAAACCATTGTGCCAGTGAACTCCTGCAGAGAACCGATAACAAGTGGTGCCAAAACCTCCTGCAGGTGCCCACCAAAGTGGCCACTTGGGAGGGTTTGGAGCCCTTTTTTCTCTCCAACTCATCCCTTTGCTCTGCTCATGGGCACTTGGCAGAGCTTTGTTAGGATGTGCTCTGGAGCCAGGTGACAGCACAAAGCTCTGCCCTCCCACCTCAGCTCTCATATCCCTTCCTCTGACCCCTTCAAAAATCAACTCCCTCTCTGATGGCTTGGCTGGAGGAGGCAACATCCCACCAAGGAGTTAATCTTCACATCACTGGGGGAAGAATTAACACAAGCAAGTCCTGGTGTCGGTGTGGAGTTAAATATCTAATGCTCCCTGGGATTTCTGCTCCAAACGTAACTGTAATTAATTCTAAATGAGAAACTCTCCTGGCCTCATTAAAGATGACATCTGCAGGAACACTGGTCACACACAGAGGTTTGGAGCTGTTACAGCAAAGATCTGTTGTAGGAATAACAATGGATTATTCATATTCCCTGGAGAGATCAGAAGAAATAAATACACTTTGGTATCACGGGTTACAGCAAATGTCTAAGGAACATAAATCAGATTAAATCTCCCAGCAGATCAGTACAACCAGCAAAGCAAAGGTGTGACTGAGCAGGAACAGTCACCAGGGAGGAGAATTCCATGACTGTGGGGTCTGTTTGCATTGGGCACATCCAAAGGGACACGGCTGAATTTACTTCAAATACACAGCTATTATTAAAGGGGAATTTTCACTACTGGAATAACTGGGAAAGGGCACAAGGCACCGCTCCTGGATATCAGTTTATACATAAAACAGGAGCAAAATGTTCTACTCTGAGAGCACCAGAAGGCAGTGTTTTGTTACAGACCTCCTCGTGGCAGGCAGTCCAATAAAACTGATGTCCAGGATGCAACCTCAGAGTAGAAAAAACACGACAGAAAACACAATCCTGTTCACAGACTGCTTTGGTTGCTGCACTTTTTGCTTCTGAAGTTACAAATACACGAGAGAGCACAAGCTGAGCCCAGAAGGTCTGCTAGACATAGTCGTGTTTGGAAGGGTAGGAGCGTCTTCCCTCCTCACTCCGAGGAGCTTCTTCATACCCTGGGCCCTTCCTGGTCTTTGGGTCGGGCTCATAGCCCTTGTAGGGCCCCGTTCTGTAGGAGATGTTCGGTCCTGACGCGTTGTAGGACACGGCTTTGTACCTGGAAGAGACACAAGAGGTGGCATCAGGCACTGGGGGGTCTGGGACCACCCAACCTGGCACCCTCTGTGCCTGTTTGCTGCTGGATTTTAGGCAACTTCATCATCACTTGGAGACACTCAGTGAGCTCAAAACCATCCACTCATGGACAGACTGCAAGTCCCTTTCCTGGTTTTTCATGAACTTATGATTCCTTTCTCATCAGTAATTCCTTGGTTGAGTGAAGACCCACGTACAAGAACCAGCTGTGTAGGCGTACAAAGTTCTCCCTGATGTGGCTGCCCCATCCCTGGAAGTGTTCCAGGCTGGGTTGGATGGGGTTTGGAACAACCTGGTCTGGTGGGAGGTGTCCCACACGGCAGGGAGTTGGAATTAGATGGTCTTTAAGGTTCCTTTCAACCCAAACCACTCTATGATTCTGCATAAATCACAGGGGTCACCTGATGCAATCCCCACCTTCTAATGATCTGCTGTGCACCTTGCAAATGAAGCTGCAATTAATGGGCCTGACTTCACCAGCACATTGCAAATTTTAGATTTTAAGGTCTCTCTCCTGTTCTATTTGTTCGCAAGTCACACAGTCAGAGAAGGCAAATGGTCTCTTTTGACCCAAAAAAGGGCAAATAAATAAACATGTATTGGTGGAGTTGATGTAGTGCTCTGGGTTAATGGTGGGACTGGATGGTCTTTTCCAACCTAAATGATTCTGTGATTCCACCATCACAGTAACTGTTGTGATGGGGATCTCACAGACACATCCTGGGCTGGTTGGGTGCTACCCCAACAGCCAAGGTTTCAGGCAGCACCTTCCCACGTGTCCCACAGCTCAGCTTACCGGGATTCCTCTGGAATGAGCCCTCTGCAAGCCAGGCACATCATGATGCCCCCCACGAGGGCCAGGCCGCCGGCCACCCACCCCACGAAGAGGGCTGAGCCGAAGGTGTACCTGTGGGACAGAGACTGCTCAGGGCTGGGCAGGGGCCAGGCTGCTCCCCCAGAACACACCGAGCCTTGTCATCCTCCCCCAACCCCGCAGGAGTGCCCAGAAGTCCCTCAGTGGGCTCCCCACCTCCTCCTTGAGCTGCAGGAGCAGAGACATCCCAGCCAACATCTCCAGGGCAGGTAAGAGACTTTATCTCCCAAGGGACTGAATCTTCCCAGTCCTGTGACCATCCCAACGTCCTCCCAGATGGACCTTTCCTCTGGCTGCAGCCCTGAGGGAGATCCCCACTGTGGAGCCCCCTGAGCCAGCTGACCACCCACCTGTTCTGGACGTTCTGCATCCCCTGGTACATGTTGGTGGTGGACATCCAGAAGTTTGTGACCAGCATGTTGGCAAACACGGACACGCCGGTGATGGCACACAGGCCTGGACAGGAGAGAGGGACACACTGAGACCCACACGGTTCAAAAGTCACCTGTGGCCTTGGGGAAGCACCTTCCAGCTCTGGAAAGCTGGGTGAGACACTGCTCTGTGTCCTTCAGCAACACATTACACTTTTCTGACAGGATTTCCTTGCATTTACAATTCCGACAGCAGGAATGCAATGTCACCCCCCACAATCCCAAATCATCCCAGCAGGAATCTTCCTCCTGATGTGTTTTCTCACAGAAAGTGAGTTTAACAAACAGATCATTTCAGCAGCTGAAAATACCCAGTGTTAAAGGTTTGTTTTACAGTGACAAACATGGACAAAAGGTTCCCTGCCAGGAATTATTTTTTTGAGTGGAAAACACGTTCTCTGCCCCGTGGAAGAAGAGATACATTTGATTCACAACCTGCTCATTGCCAGGTCTGGCAGCCCAGCCTCAAGAGGTGGGACCTTCTTCCATCCATGTGCACAAGGGCTCAGGGTGATGCCCAGCCCTGAGGAGCCTGGCAGGGATGCCAATCCCCTGTTTTCCTTAGCAGAGGGATTCATAGGACACTTGAACATGGAATCCCAGGATGGTTTAGATTGGAAGGGACCTTAAAGCTCCTCTCATTCCACCCTTTGCCATGGGCAGGGACACCTTTCACTGGACCAGGTTGTTCCAAGCCCCGTCCAACCTGTCCTGGGACACTGTGGAAGGAGGAACAAAACAAAACTAACTGTCATGTGAGGATTTTTGGCCCAGATATATGGACTCCAGATCTCCTGGGCATCCAAAGTCCTATTTATCATTCCTACACCCATCAAGACCTCTGGGTCTTTCCCAAAACAATTCCTCACAGCACTGGGGAGGTCTGAGCAAACCTTTAACATTTCTCCCCCTTGTTTGAGGAGGGAACAACCTCCAGCTGGCAGAGGTGTGACCAAGGGCCAGCTCCACCAGGCATGTGGGGGCCCAGCTCCTCACCAGCTGAGCCTGGGGACCTTGTTTGGAAATGGGTGAAGGCAACCAAGGGATGTCCCATCCCAGGAGCCGGTCACATCTTCAGGAACACGAGTGGGATTTTCTAATTGCCCAAATTCTCAACCCACTGACTCAAAGGAGTAAAACTGAGCAGCCTGGTCCACTGGAAGGTGTCCCTGCCCATGGCAAGGGTTTGGAATGAGATGGTCTTTAAGGTCCCTTCTGATCCAAACCATTCTGTGATTCTGTGATTCTGAAGTGGCAGTTTTAACATGCAAATATAAAGCTGTGTTGCAGAATGTTGTTCCTCTTTCCAACTTGCAGTTATGAAATACCTTTAACTTGTGTTGTATGTCTCATGTCCCAGCAAAAGTTAAGTGTTGGGATTTTAAGGATTTTAAATAGGGGCATTCTCCTTCCATTCATTAGGATATGGATTTGATTTGATTACTATCTCAGAAAAAAATAAAGTAGGAAAACCTGTAAGTGATGTGTTAAACATTTAAAATGAGGTAGTTGGGCAACACTGGGCATTCCTGCAGCCCTCCTGATAACCCAAGGTATTTAAAATTACAAGCTGAGCTTTGAAACCCCTAAAATTATTCCTAAAATTATTACATATAAAGCCTGAAACTCATAAAAAATATGATACATAAATAAAGGATAAAATAGTACATGACAACAACACATATATAACAAATTAAGAGAGATGTTTTCCTTTCTATCTGTGAGGTTTTTTTCCAAGTCTTCCTTGTTCTGTCCATACAAACTTCTGGTTTCTGAGGTGTTTTTTTTACTAAGCAGAGGTAGAAACCACTTGACCCCAGGAGGCCGAGCTGGAGGACAGATGCCAAGAACTCTGTGAGAGCACCAACGCTTTGGGTGGCTCCAGAGCAGCTGTGTGGAGACCTGGCCACCCTCAATTCCAGGCACGGGGAAAACGGGACACCACTCACTTACCAGCAACAATGAACATGATGCCAGAGGTCAGAGTCATGTTGGCTTTTGCAGAGTCCTCCATGGTCCCGATGCGGATGCACTTGAGGGCAAAGATGCAGACGAGGAGGCCGAGGATGCCCAGGACGATGCCCACGATCATGAGTGCCCTCACGGCCTGGAACATGGCTATGGAACAGAGGGAGACACGGGCAGTGACTGACAAGAGACTTGCCAGAGCCTGGGAGCATTTTAAAGGCTGGTTCTGTCTGAAAAGATAAGTGCTAAGGAAGAAAACCTCGGCAAACGGGCGCTGGGTTTACACTGGAGTGTTATCTCTGGAACGGGCTCTCTGCCCCAGCTTCCCAAGGAGTTTGATGGCTTAGACAGGATTTTTTATGACTGTTCATCAGTCATGGTTCATTCAGCTGAAATTCATGGAGAAGAGTTAGTGGGGAGCTGGGAGAAGCACGAATTGTTTCATTACTAAATTGACTAAGAAAACACTCTTATTTTTAATCCCTGAGCAGCAAGGAAAGCAGACAGCTCCACCCAGCTCTCCATGATACTTCCAGCTACTGCATGGCTCCAAACGCAGTTCTGGATGTTCCTGATCCACAGGAAAGCACATGGCACAGGAGAAGAGGAAAATCATCTTGACAAACATTACACACCAACAAAACTTTGGCCACGACCTCCCTCCCCACATCCCTTCCATGGTGATTTGTAACAGTCCTGTATAAAACTGTCCATGTTCATTAATACAGCACATAAATGCCCCCAGCCTGAGTTTGTCCAGCAGCCTGCCATGAGGTGGGAATGCTTGTTTGGAGGCAGGCTGGGATGCTGGTGGGTCATTCCTGAGGGAGCTGAGGGCTGAAGGCAACAAAACCCCTCAAGACTCCCTAGAAAAATAAAGGAGAGATCAAAGAGAAACTTGCACCTTTAAAAACAGAGAAGTGGAGGGGGAAAGGGGATGTGAATACCAAGGTGATTCTCTAATAAGGTGGCACACATCCCATCTTTCCTGCAATCCAGAGCTGGCCCCAGACACTTCTCCCCCTGCTCTCCCGGGCACAGACAGGGAGGCGGCGGCGCTGGGAGGGGGGGCCAAAAGCATTTCAAGGGCTGTTGGGGTTTGGCCGGGACACTTTGCAGCCTCCTTTTGCCCTCCCACGAGCTCTCCCAGCCCTGGGCTTGGCTCTGATGCTCCCCAGGCGTGACTGTCCCTCTCCAGGGAAGGTGACCGGGCTCGTAGTGGGGTGAGAAGGGCAAGGAGAGTGTTCTGCAGCCCCAGGGACTTCCCTCAGCCTGGCTGCCACCCCTTGGGGTGCCCAGGGAGCACAGAGCAGACTCTGCTGGCTTCACACAGGGTGGGCAGGAGGGCAAGGGTGGGTGGTGGCGTGCTGTGAGGCACCAGCACCCCGAGCAGCAGCACTGGCACCGTGGGCTCACAGAAACAGGCACCCTGCCACCCACAAGCTGGGAACACACCACCGGCAGTCCCACCGGGGCTGCCTCTTATGACTCAATTTGCCCTTATCAGCCGATAACAAGTGCTAACGAGCCGGGGATTTTCAATCTGCCATTCATCAGCCCCCAGGTGCGAGCTCATTAGCTGTTCTCCAGCGGAGAACAAGGAGCTGCGGATACGCCTTATCAGCCCTCAAAGGTTGTTCCGCAGCACCTGATGGGAAGCACAAAGCTGCAAAGAGAAGAAAAGCTCCATCTCATTTGTCTTTACAACCACCGAAGTTCCTTTGCAAGTGCCTTTGTTTCAGGGCAGGCAGGAGAGGCTGATAATCCAGACACCGGGGATCCTGAAGGGGCTCCTCGGCCCTAACACGGGTCCTTCATTCCTGGGTGTTTCCTACAGACCTTGTGGTTCTGTGGTGTTATCATGAGGTGTTTGCAACTCATCAAGAAGGGACCCTAAGCCAAGATCTGACAGAGAGCTTGTTGGTCCCCAGGAGATGTGTTCCTGGTGTGTCCATGGAATGACACAAGAGGCCAGGCAGCCGAGGATGTTGCACTTTTGCTGGAGCACCGAAGTCCAAGTTGGTGACTCTCCATAGAAAAGGAGCTGTTGGGAAGGGGAGGGAGTGGAACACAGAGGAAAAAATGCCAATTGGCCATTCCTGTCTCCATGAGAGTGACTTAGGCACCATCTCCACAAAGGGATGGGAAGGAGTAGAAAGTTGTCCCATGCCATGAAGGACTCTTCACTTGGCTCCTGGGACTGGAAGCCCTTTGGAAAGTGAGCACTGAGGCTTCAAGTGTGTTTCCACCAAAAGTCCTCTGAACAGAGGTGAATGACCTCCCACAGCAGGGAGTGGAAGGGTTTAGACAAACAAAATAGGAGAGTAAGGGAAAAAAATTGCCTGAGGAGCAAAGAGCCCTGGAGTTTAGGGAAAGCACAGAAACCACTGGGGTTTGGGATAAACTTTTTGCATGAGGGGGGAGAACTTGGCTCCATATCTGCCCACCTGATTTCTGTACAAAGGGGTGGTGTCCCACAACCAGGGAATAGCAAAAATTCAAGTTTCTTCACCAAAATAAATACCAGTGATCTGAAAGCACAGTTTGCATCCCTGTGTTTTCCAGATGTAAGGGAAACCAAAGAGTCCTCTTTCTCCCCAGAGTAGTGAGAAATGAGCAAGGTAAAACAACTTTAAGTCATTTAAGGTAAAAATCACCTGCGTTTCTGTTGCTGATACAAAATTTGGAAAAAAAAATGGAAATCTGACTTTATGACAAATGATTGATGGGACATAGAAAGTTTAAGGAAAAAAAATACAGTCTTTAAGTTAACCCAATTCAAACAGGGGCATTCTTTGCTTATGTTTTAAGGTATTCATCAATTAAATGGACACATAAAGATCCAAACTGACAGAATATCTCTAAGACACAACAGATATTGCCTGTGATATTGCTTTGCATATTTACCATATTACCTAAAAATAACTTAAAATGTAAAATCTGGATTAAGATAAATTGACACCAAAAGGATGGTTGCCACTGTCTCACTGCTCTTTGAAAACCAATCACCTACACACAGCATTCTAAATATATATAAAGTGACAACATTCATATATATATAGTTTGATAAATATATTTGTTATTCCTTAAAACAAATGGTGCCATAGGAAAAGGGACTCTAAATATCAGGTTTGCTCCTCCAAATGGAAGAGAAGTGGCCTGAGCAATCCTGAAGAAAACCAGAGACACATTTACCCCATCTCAGCCCTCAGAAAGCAAACCCTGGTCCTCAGCAAAGCTTCCCAGAGGGAGGCCAGGTCGGCATCCCTGAGGATACAGGGCTGGAGCCCACATCCACTCAGAAGGCCTGTGGGCAGCAGTCATTGCTGGGACCTGTTTGCAGTTGGGCACCACAGACACTCCCAGGGCACGTTTCCTGCTGGCTGGCACCAGAGCTCCCAGGCTGGCACCAGAGCTCCCAGGCTGGCTGCCCCTCTCCCATGGGCCAGGAGCACTGGAATACCCTCCCGTGCAGTGGGAAGGCAAAATCAGCTCTTTTGGTAAAATTGGCAAGCAAACAGGAAAATAACACACCCCCCCTGCAATCAATTCTGCAGCACCAACCCTGCCCAGGTAATGTGGAGTGACCCAACATGCCTTCCCCCGCTCCTCACCCTTCCTGCTCGCAGGTGGATTTCTCCAATTCCAGTTTTTCCTTTGGAAAAACCAATCCTTTTCATTATTCTCTGCCAACACACAGTTCCACACAGCTGTTTTCCTGGGGTTCCCATTCAAAGGGACAATCCCTGGGGGTTTTAACACCCTCTCTTCCCTCACATCACCGGAGCCGGGCTGATTTATGCCTGTACCTGTGATGCTCAGCCAGAAATCACCCCCGGGTTGCTCCAAGTTTCTCCAAGGTGTAACTTCCACCGAGTAAAAGTATCATTTTGGCAATAAATAAACACACATTTTTACGCTGAGTGGCCTGGAAACGTTATTCCTCCCAGAGGAATAACTCCTTTGGGAAGCTCCTACTGCTTCATTTTTGGATGAGAACGGCGCAGAGCTCCAGGAAGAGCTCCCGGGTCAAACCTGGAGCATGTTCAGCCCTACCTGGCAGGCCGAGGATGGTGAAGTAGGGCCGGCACTCGGTGAAGCCGGAGCTCTGCCTCACGCAGCTCCTCCACAGCCCCTGGTACTGGAAGACGGCGGTGACGGGGTTGTCGTACAGGTCCTGGGTGCTCCACGTGTCCGTGGCCGTGGCCACAATGGTCCCCGCGACGCCCAGCGAGGCCACCAGGAAGCCCATGACCTGGCACAGGGTGGTGGACATGGTGTGTCCCCGGCAGAGCAGCGAGATGCCCGGGGGAGCAGCAGCACTAATGGGAGCAGCCGGGTCCTCTCCCCGAGCCACAGGAACGCGGCCGCTCTTATCAGATGCTTTCCGTGGAGCGCTGTTTGCTCAAAGTGTTTTTGCAAGATAGTCCAGTTTCACTCTGGCTGGGGAGGAGGTTTGTGCTGGCAGGGCTGCAGATATGAGCTTTTGTCCTTCAGAGTGCTTGTCCTTCCCCCTTGGAGCAGCCACGCTCTGCCGAGCGTTGAGTAACCCACTTGGGGCCTGTGCCGGCCCCAAATCGAAACCCTGCGCTGCCCCTCGGGCTCCTCCTGCCTTCCTGGCACAGGGAAGGACCGTGTTCCCAGGGGAATTCAGCCCAGGCCACCCTCTGCTTATGCCACCAGCCCAATATGGGGATCTCAATACCCCAGCACCCGCAGAGGTGTCCCCACAAGAGGCACGATGACGACCTGGGACACCAACGACGACAACCAGGGACACCAGTGGTGGCTCTGGGAGAGGGTGTGGGGCCACCAGCCCAGCCCAAGGATGTGGCTGCTCCCTGCAGGCCCCTGGAGCATCGCTGAGGTTGTGTGGGATGCTGATCATGGCAGAACCCAAGGCACCAAGAGGCCAGCAAAGCTCCTCCAGCCCGGCTCTCCACCCGCCCACATCCCAGCAGCCAACACGTGACCCCACTGAAACCCTCAGGGGAGGAAGGAGAGCACAGGGACCATTGGGAAATGGCCTTTTTGGGGTGCTTGTCTGTACTGACTGGAAGGATGGTCCTGGAAAAGGGGTGGGGATATAAAAAACAGGAAATTCATTTCCTCTGCACGGGGGAGAAGTGCTGGGTTTAGAGGAGCCATAT